AAAAAAAAAAAAAAAAAAAGAAAATAAGATTGTGTATGGGTTGTTTTTATGGGTATAGATAGCAATTTGTTGGCCAGAGTTCAGCCACCTGGCCACACCTAATTGAAAGAGGAGCTGAGAAATGTAGTCTCGCTGTGAGTGTAGGAAGAAGAATAAATGGATTTGCTGAATTGTTCATTCATCTTCGCCACTTCCTCCTCTATCCTTCAATTTCTCCACCACTGCCTCAGTTCGCAAGACCCAATGCTGGACTCCCTCCCACATCACCCCACTGACCAAGCTCCTCCTTCCCCCTCAGGTCTCACACTCTGAGGATGACTGTATAGCTTTCAAAGTTCACCAATATTTTAATGTAGAGCTTATCCAGCCTGGTGCAGTCAAGGTCTACGCCTATTACAACCTGGGTGAGCAGCCAAACTAGGGCCTGGGGTCTGATGTTTCCAGGGGCCTGAGAGTCCCAGGTATATGTGAATTGTGGGGATCTGAGAATGAAGGTCTAAGGAGTCCAGGGATTTGAGGATTAGTAGTCTGGAGGTCCCAGGGGCCTGAGGGTCCCAAGAATCTATGAGTTGGTTCTAGGGATCTGAGAGTTGGAGGTCTGATGGGTTCAGGAGTCTCAGGGTCCTGGGAATATGTGAGTTGCAAAATAAGGGTCTAAGGATTCCAGGAGTATGAGGGTTGGAGGGTCTGAGTGTCCCAGGAAACTATGAATTTGGGGTCCAAGGGTCCCAGCCTTCTGTGAGTTGAGAGTCTTAAGATGCTCAAGGGTCTGAGAATCCCAAAGATCAGAAAGTAGAGGGGGTCTCGGGATCCGAGGGATCTGAGGGCTTGAAAACCTAGCATCTCCAGGTCTGAAGACTGAGAACTGGGGATCTGGGCCTCCCAGGCATGGTCTTGGGAGGGAGACCCTTATCCTCTCATCTTCGCGTCACATCTGCCTGCAGCGGAAAGCTGTACCCGGTTCTACCACCCGGAAAAGGAGGATGGAAAGCTGAACAAGCTCTGTCGTGATGAGCTGTGCCGCTGTGCTGAGGGTGAGTTCCCTGGAGCCGGGAACAGGTGCAACTGAGCAAGACACACTTCCCCAGGTCGTCCATCCCATGACCAGGGACCCCCAAAGTCATACCCAGGGGATACCAAGAGGGGTAGGCTTCCAGGGTTGGCCACACCCACGGGCAGCAGGCCCCAGATAAGGAGTGGGACTTAGACCCTGTCTCCACCCCCACTTTGCAGAGAATTGCTTCATACAAAAGTTGGATGACAAAGTCACCCTGGAAGAACGGCTGGACAAGGCCTGTGAGCCAGGAGTGGACTATGGTGAGTGGGTGATGGGCGGGGTCACGTGTGTTCGGCTGTGTGTGTCCAACTGTGTGGTGGGTGGTAGGTGTGGTTGTCATGGTGTGGCTTCAGGCTGTGGGTGTGGGTGACTGTGTTGTGTGTGTGAGCAGGTATTGTGAGGGGCCGTGATTGTGTGGGGAACCATGGCTGTGAGTGGTCTGGGTATGCCTATGTAAGGAAAGGTGGATGTGGTTGTGTGCATCATTGCGTGTGTGGCCATGGTTGTGTGAGGCTGTGGTTGTGGATGGCAGCGAGTGTGAGGTCCTGAAGTTCTGTAGATGACCATAGTTTTCGGTGGCTATGATTGTGTACATGGTTATGCCTGTGGCCATGAGGCTGCAATATTTTGTGCACATGAGTCGCTGTCATTGCATAGTATGAATAGTATGTTACTGTTATACTTTGTAGGTGGCTGTGACCTTTGTGCATGTCTATGGGCACAACTGTGTGTGGATGGTGACATGTGACCCTCTACGGTTGTGTGTGTAATGAGGGGTGGGCCATAGTGTGACTGGCTGTGATTCTGCAACTTTCCCTTGGGGGAGAGAGCCACGTGCCCGGGTGCACCTGCAAACCAGGGTGCCCCTCATGGTCAACCCAGCCCACCACCCACCCTGTTCGCCTCTCCCCCACAGTGTACAAGACCCGACTGGTCAAGGCCCAGCTGTCCAATGACTTTGACGAGTACCTCATGGCCATTGAGCAGATCATCAAGTCAGGTCAGGTTCAGCACGCTGCCTCCCGCGGCTTTCTCCCTGGCTTCCTCCCCACGGCTCAGCTTCTTCCCTCTCCCCTCCACTCCAGGCTCAGATGAGGTGCAGGTTGGACAACAGCGCACGTTCATCAGCCCCATCAAGTGCAGGGAAGCCCTGAAGCTGGAGGAGAGGAAACACTACCTCATGTGGGGTCTCTCCTCCGATTTCTGGGGAGAGAAACCCAAGTGAGTACTCGCCCTGCGCGAGCGCGCGGCCGTCCGACCGCCCCGCCCATGCCACGCCCACATCATGACCACGCCCCCATGCACCACGCCCACGCCACGCCCCTTCCTGACCTGCCATTCCTCCCTCCAGCCTCAGCTACATCATCGGGAAGGACACCTGGGTGGAGCACTGGCCCGAGGAGGACGAATGCCAAGATGAAGAGAACCAGAAACAATGCCAGGACCTCGGCGCCTTCACTGAGAACATGGTTGTCTTTGGGTGCCCCAACTGACCACACCCCCCTTCCCCCACTCCCAATAAAGCTTCAGTTACATTTCCCGTGTCTGGAGTTCTTTGCCAGAGAGCAAGAGACTGAAATCCCCAGCCGCCTCACCTGCAGCTCAGCTGCATCCTACCTGAAACCTCACCTGTTCCCACTGCATTTTCTCCGGGCGTTCACCTGCGAGTGTGCTGACTTCTTTATCCAAACACCACGGACCTGCCTCACCTGCACATAGCGTGCACCTGCACCTCACCTCCATTTCAGCTGCACATTCACCGGCAGCTCACAACCTCTTCGCCTGAGTTCTCACCTCTTCGCTTACCGGCATCCTCACCTGATAATCTTACCAATATATTTTTTTTCTTTTATTATTATTGCTATTTTAAGTTCCAGGGTA